AGGGAAATTGAAGTGCTATACCATGCAACTGAATTGTAGTTACCTTGGGTCCGTATAAATGCTATTGTGCTATACTTCCGACACACATATAAGTTCAAAGCACTAATGAGACTGGAGAGGGAACTTGAAGTGCAACATCATTGGATCATTGCTACAAGAGTGTCCCAGAAGAGTGTCCCACAAGAGTGTCCTACAAGAGTGTCATTTGGACATATGTAGCTTTTCGAACGCGTTTGCATTTGGGTTCGTGGGCTTCATCTTGTTTATGTTCCCTATGGTTAAAATCCTCTTTTGGTGAATGTATTCAATTGTTCCAAGTGCTTTAAACAATCCAAGTTTGTGTCCCATCCTCAATTCCACCTGTTTGTATTCGCTGGTGTGATTTTGTTGTTCTCCGGCCCCACTTGACTGGTAGGATGCTCAACATAGTTAAAGTTGATGGGCGTGTGGAAGTAAAACTGTGAGCGAAAGCTTTGGTTTGAGCATCTCTAATCATCAAGGGGAATGACCTGCCATTCAGACGTGGATAACCGTTTATATCCTTTTTGAAGCATTAGATGGATAACCTTTGTGGAAACCCCATATGCTACCCAGTCAGTAGAAACCTCAAATGAACAAAGATGGACAGTTTGGTTTATCTTTTCTTCGTGGGATCTCCGGCTTGGCTCACGCGTTCCTCGCGCGCGATGTTCCGACCGGCTTTGCAGTATGCGCTGTGCTTGCGGCAGCTGCGCTCCTCGCGGCTGTCGGCCGCCGAACAGGAGGACGGTGGAGGGTCTCAATCCGTTGTTTTCCGGCGACCCCCGCTCTTGGGGTCTCTATCCATACACCTCCAGTCGTACCTCCTCAAGGTATGACTGGACCCTCCAAACCACCCGGGCCTCCAGGTCCACCGAACCTCAGAAGGAACGAAAACGGAGCCCTAACGGGTAGCCGTGTTTGGATCCCCCCACCGGGTCCCCACGGCTGTTTTCAGAGGACCCCGTGTCTGACCAGTTGAGAGGACCCGAATTGGGTGTTTCAAGGTTGGTAAGGGGGGGTAAGGGGTATAAGGGGTGGGGAGGTTCTGACCGGAGAAAAAAGGTATCCCAAATAGAATACCAAAATGGGAACCTGACCATAGAACATCAACACATCAGTTTTGCTATCCATCGTAGAAGTATTCGATTTGTTCATTTGTTCTATGTCGATGTGAGTCCAAAAAATCAGGGGAACCAACGCCATGTAGAGCCTGGCCTTTTTCACATGGAAGTGGACGGCGTGCGTCCCTTCTCTAAGACGGCTTTCCTTTGCAAGCAGGGGGTTCCCCCACTTCCATGTTAGTAGTGAGTGGGTCGGAGTGGAACCGAGTTTTCAGGTTTTCCGAGCGCACCCGCCTGTCCAGGAGGCACTCGAAGCACTGATGCTCAAGCTGCGAAGGCAGTGGTGCTTGGTGCTTTTCAGGGCGTTGGGCACGACGGGCTGGAATGAATCGCGCGGCAGTACGGTGTTTGAGGTCAACGTGTGGGGGGATTGGGGGCGCTCCAGTGATATGCATGAATTCATGTGGCAGGTTCACCTCGCCGCATTGTTGTCCAGCTTCGTGTTGTCTCGGGTGTCAAACAGGTCATGTGAGCGGACCCTCACAATCCATGAATGGACTATTTGCCTACATTGGGGTCATTTCAAGATGTTTTTAAGGTCCATGTAGTACATAAGTCCCATGGATCATGGATCCCTTCAAGTTGGCGCAGTCGTCCAGGACTTCGCAGGTGATGTGGACGGTGCAAAGAGATCATGTGATCATAGTAGGTGGACTTTTAGAGGAATGTTTCTGGCAACCTGCAGGTTGGAAGACCCTTTTCGAAGGCTGGGTCCCAGCCGTACTCGAACTGTCTCTGAGGTCAAAGTCTGACCTGACCTCTTCCTGAACCTAAAAGGGACGCTGAACACTGAGGCGACCCAGGTCACAAACGGTCACCCCCCTTGAAAAATGCGACGTGGCGTCGACCGGACCGGAACGAAATATACACTTCGAGTCGATCTTCGAAAACCAACAGAAGTGGCGAGTGGGACCAGGTCGGACCCGGAAAACCAGGGGTACACAACGAACTCGGGGGTCGTCCAACGAACTCGGGTTCTGACCCACTCACCTTTGCTGGCCAATGGTGACGACGTCGGCGTAAGGGGCCATTTAGTTGAGACTCCACGTGTTATGACCCGTGCCAGCTGAGAAGGAAGCTGTTTCCAGCGGACATATACCAAAAGAGAGGTAGAAGGTGACCTGAAAAAGGACCCGTCACCTGGGTAACCAACTGGGATAGTCCATTTTTGATGTGGCCAGCTCAATTTGAGCGGTTCAAGGCTGTTTACAAGCACCTGCTAGAAAATCAGACCCTACAGGTGCAGGAACTGAGTTCAATTGACTGACGTTGAATTACACAAAGTACGACTCAAGCTTACGGAGTTTCTAACAAAGGCGAAGTGACAATATAGGACCCTACAGGGTAGACCAAAAGGATAGTCTAGTTCGGGTTCTTCAACCTCTGCTGGTTTTGAAAGACCAGCGTTCTTGACGGGGGTCATGTCCTGGTATAGCATCGGCGAGCTCAGCGCGATGCTCGCTGCGCATGTCAGGCGTGCCAGGGAGTTGGGCGCCTGAGGGCGGAGCCGGCGACGGGCGGGCGGCGATGGGCGCCGGCAAAAGGAAACACCCGGCGTCTGTGGTTGGACCAGGCGCCAGACGTTGCGCCAGACGTTCTGTTTGGGGTCCACGGAGGGTCTATTAACAAACTGCGCACTTTTTTCTCAAAATCATGGAGGTTCTCCCATCTGCGGGTGTTTGTTTGCAGTACACATGCATTCTTTCACCTCGAAATGATCAAAATGCATTTCGACCGCGCAGGCTCACAGAAATTTATGCGCTCTCGTTGTGGCGCTGTGCACATTTTCAAACTTGGTGGTCACTTTCCGTGGCAGGCGCAAGGGAAGGTCCGAAGTCGACTGTTCGTGGCAGGCGCCGGAGGTCGGAGCAGCTTCACTTCGATGTGTCGCGCAGCATGTGAAGCACATCGATGACCGGGATATCTAGAAAGTTGCCCGTGCAAGTTGCTCTTGACCCAAGCACCATGCAGAGTCTAGCCCTGAACGGACTATATCATAGGCAGGGCTACACATTAGAAGATGCACAGGCCGACGATCTTGGCCCCTTAGCTCATCAAGCAAGTGCACAGGGCTTGGACAATAGATATTTTAAAGCTCACTGCCCGACAGAACTGGAGAACATCAAGAACTGTATTCAAAGAACAAGCCCAACCGGCGGTGCCCCACATCAATAAAGGAGCGCATCGTGATTTCTAATAAAGGGCGTCACAAATTGAACTACGGCTCAACGCCCATTACGAGGAATTTTTCGGGCACGGGTGAAAGCAAGTAAGCAAGCAACCTTTGCAAACGCACGGTCACAATCTAAAGGCTTATAGTGGGCATTACCTTCAGCGAGTAGTTGGTTTCAATACGTTGTTTGGCGAGAGCTCTTTTGCCTCAAGCGTTATCTAGTCACAACCGTGCTGCCTTTTGATGGAAGGCATCAAGTGGCCTATACGTGATGGGGATTCAGAAATGACCCTGCCCTGCAGCAAAGCGTGGCCATCGAACTTAAGGGTCAAGCCTACCTGTTTTGGTGAGAAGTTGGCGCGCTTGTCGCACAAAAACTCAACACCCGTGCCGGTTTCGGCGACAGGTGGAGAGCGATTCGGACACAGCCCTGATTGCGGGCGTCAGCAGGATTGGGTGGTGGAGGGCGTCAAGGGCGATTTGGACTTATGGATCCCGGAGGCCGTGGTCATGATGGGGAGATCGATCAATTTCGCCCATACGGGGCCCGCAGGCCATGGCTCGAAAGCGGAAGTCAAAAAATACATAGCGGGCACTCCTTGCAGTTCCGGTTTCTTTCAAATTTGTGTTCTTTTGAGTCAGCATTTGTCAAGAAAACAGCACTGCCAAAAATGGCTGCGCAACAATTGCATCCAGCAAAAAAGCCCGATCAATTGACAAAATAACTATGTCAAAAAACAGCTGAACAACAAAAAAAGAAACAAACACATATTTCAGAGAGTCTTGACTGAACCCACCCAGAGGACAAACCTCGGAAAAAAAAACAACATGTTTTTGTATTTGTCCACAGCGCTCAAAATTTTCCACAGGGTGCTCTCCTGGTAGTGCAGCTTTCTTGACGCATGTTAAGTTTTCTCACAACTTTGCGTTCTTTTCAGTCAACATTTGTCAAGAAAACTGCACTGCCAGGAGGGCACCCTGTTAAGATTTGCCAAGACAACTACACTGCGAGGAGGGCACTTTGTTAACCTTTGTCAAGAAAACTACACTGCCAGGAGTGCACTTTGCAGAAGATTCTGCACTTTGTGGACAATAATTTTTGAAGACAAGCTAAAACACACCAATAAAACAGGTTTTCAGAAGTTGGTCCTCTGGATGACTGCCTATGAGGGTTTTCTTGGACCTTTTATTATTGCACTGGGTAAAGTAAAGCATATCCTTTGCCGCTGATAGCCGATAGCCGCCTTCCAAACAACGGATGTACAGGGTGAAGCACCACGGGAACGACCTTTCAGACACACCCAGATTCTGTGTCACGATGAGGAAACACAACCATCAGCGCATTCATGTTGCACTCGGCGTTTTTAGCTCTACCCTTTTATTGATTTTAGGTGAAGGTCGTGCCTGCCACCGAGCGGGCCCGCATGGAACAGCGCGCGTTTGTTGATGGGCGCAGGATTGTGGTGAAAGGTTTTGAACAGAAATCTGTTTCTTGGATGCTTTTTGGAGGTGTAGCAAATCAATCAGGTTCTGCGACACCATCTATGCAAAGCCACTGAAACTCCCTCCCCGAAACATAAACCTTCGCTAGCTGGCGAATCCTGGGGTGGGGACACTGTGGGCAACCCAACCGTAGATTTGGCAAAGGAACATATAAAGTTGATCACTCGACTCGATTTCCACTTTTTCGGCGACCGAATCAGACATAAGGACACCAGCATGCCAGCAGGTGTTGTTCTTCGCGTTTGGGACTGTAGGTCGCTGGAAACCTCACCCAAGCTCCCTACGCTTGGGTCTTCTGAGGCCTGCGCCGTCCTGTGGCCTGCTCTTCACAGCGGGGCAGCCCGTTTTCGAATCTCGCCGGGCGCGGTGGTCCAGGAGCCTTCGTCGATGGTTGCGGAACCACAACGTCGACGCTTGAGCGACGTGTTGCCTGTCAGCGTCTGTGTGTGTGTCCACCCCTGGACAAAGGGTTCTCAACCAACTTCGGCAGGGGCGTGCAGCATCTGTGGTCCACTGCACGCAACGAAGCTAAGACCACAGATGGGAAGGGATCAAGGACGCTTGATCCTGTACCTGCCATGTGTTTCACAAGCTGTGACCCCAATTTTCCTTGGTTTGCTTCCATGGCAGTTCTGCATGATACCTCCCACCAACCCACCGCCGCCTTGCACCGCTCTGCCGCCGACTTTGAGTGTCAGATCGTTTTCGAGTGCAGCTGCCAACAGTGTTCAACAATACGGTTTTGCGGACTCATGCACCTTTCCGTTCCCTCGCCTTCCTTCCCAACGTGGTAACTGAGTCACTGAAAACCAATGTCAGAGTGTGTTTCGCTCAGCCGTCCCACTCGGGTGCTGAGTGTCATCCCCGTCACAGGGGCGCCGTTTTCGCATAGGAAATCATCCACCCCAACTTGCCACCTACCACTGGATTTCCACTGGAAGTCATTGACACATCCATAGAATCAACTGATGCATTGGCCGCCGGGCCCAAAAACGGGATTACTTGGACAGCCGCCGGGCTATAAAACGGTGCGGTGCTCAACCCCCAATGAGGCAGGTTCCCCGACCCCCCCCCCCCCCCCAGTTCTACTCCCTACCTATTTAGGGCAACATAGGGAAATGGTACTCGACACACTTGTGTGTCGGTGCCTTTCCCTGTGTTGTTCCTTTTCTAGTCTTTCCTACCCGGGCGGTCTAAGACTAAAGTCCCGCTCCCTAGCTATTGCACCCAATTCATTTCTGCTAAGTAATCAGTAATTCTAGAGGGCTAAGTATTCATACACACACACACACGGACACACACATGTACATACACTTCCCTGCCCCCCGCTTTTCTTCTTACGCCTTCGGTCGTTTCTTGGGCTTTCTCTCAGGCTTTTTAGGTCGTTCTTGAGGCTCGTTTCCCTACCCCAGTCGAGGGCTAAGTAGTCATTTTTCCTACACCTATCTTTCTTTCTTCCCCTCTTAGCGCTGCTCTTTCTGTCTTTCTTTCCTTTTGTTTCTAAGGCTTTTTTGGTGACTATTTAGGTTTTTCACATGCGCGCCGCGAAGCGGCACCGTATGTGTGCCACCGTTCTTTGAAAAAGCGCCGAAGCCGGCGATTTGTGTGTGTCCACCCCTGGACAAAGGGTTCTCAACCAACTTCGGCAGGGGCGTGCAGCATCTGTGGTCCACTGCACGCAACGAAGCTAAGACCACAGATGGGAAGGGATCAAGGACGCTTGATCCTGTACCTGCCATGTGTTTCACAAGCTGTGACCCCAATTTTCCTTGGTTTGCTTCCATGGCAGTTCTGCATGATACCTCCCACCAACCCACCGCCGCCTTGCACCGCTCTGCCGCCGACTTTGAGTGTCAGATCGTTTTCGAGTGCAGCTGCCAACAGTGTTCAACAATACGGTTTTGCGGACTCATGCACCTTTCCGTTCCCTCGCCTTCCTTCCCAACGTGGTAACTGAGTCACTGGAAACCAATGTCAGAGTGTGTCACACTCTGTTTCTATAAGAGTTTCCACAGGCAGGGGGACGGGACACCACTGGCACTGCCCGCCAGTAGGTGCTGAAGCAGTGGAGGACGCTCCACTGTGTACCTGCCCGAACTTTTGACCAAGCTGTTACTCCACTTTTCCACTTTTTGATTCCATGGTTCTTGCATGATACTTCCCCCAAACCCTGGTTTCTGCAGTTGCGCCGCGGCGCTCGTTCGCCACCGCTGAGCACTGCAGTCACGCACCAACAGCTTGTTTAACATTTCAAGTGAACTGACTTTCTCGCCTTGCTGTTCCCTCATTCCTTTTGACCTGGGAATAGAGTTAACTGCAAACCCATTGTCAAAGTGTGGTGTTACGCATGGCACTGGGCGGTCGCCTTCTTGATTTTGGAGATGTGAGTGGAGTTTGTCTCAAAGCAAGGAGTCTAGCTCCAATCAGCAGGTAGAAGTAGGTAATTTGGAACATGTTTTGGGGAACGTTCTGAAACCAGAGGGGCGTGCCTTCCACAATATTTGTTTGTTCAACATGGAGCACTTTCAGCTATCCCAAACGCTCCATATATATCCATATATACCCACCCCCTGAGATCTACCTTTGGTTCTCTTCCAAAGACTTATACTTACACAAAATCAGACTTAGGATTTTGACGCTGTCAGACTTGGGATACAAGATTGCGATCCCTGGATTGAAGATCGAAGATTGAACCGGTCTCACTGAAGAGTTCTGGCCAAGAGTTTTCTCACATCTTCAATCTTCAGTTTTCAATCCATGGATCTGGA